AGTTGGCTAGATCGATTTTAATCGTTATTTAATGTTTCAAACTTTGATTCTATAGGACGACCGAAACATAATTGATTATAAGTACTTCTATTGTAAAAATTGTGTAGACTAAAGCCAAAAATCAGCCACTAACCCAAATATCAACCCTGTATTCGTGAGTTCTAAACTTCTAATAAAGCACATAAACAAACAAAAACACAGGTAGACAAAATGAATAATTTACCTCTAAGAGTTCACGAGTCTAAATCTTTATTTCTTATTCTTAATAAATATTTTTTTATTAGTATAATTATTTAACACAAAAATTATAAATTAAGAGTTACAAATTTTGAGCCGTTACGGATATTTGTCAATATTACTTAAACACCCGGATAACAAAAGAAAATGGCGAGGGGCTGTGCTAAGAGGACCTGATTCTACTAGGTGGCCCACAAAGAGCTAGAGGAAAACCCAATTATGAAAGAAATGCTACTGAACCATAGCACGGTGGGCTCAAGCCCACAATGAATATGGAAACTCTGAAAAGCTACCACGTAAAGAAAGTTTAAAACAAAACAGGCAAGTTTGGTTTTAGGACTTAAACCCATTATTCTATTTGAATAGAAAAAGCTCACGTTAATACCATTCTCTCACAAAATTTAAATTCATAATCAAAATTATTAACTTAAATACGTGAATCAAACATGCCAAATACTTTCAAAGGATAAAAAATAAAAATTAACCCCAAATCAGATATAGTTAATCATTAATAAACTCAAGTTCATATACTCAAGTTATTCAGAAGATAATAAAATAACTAAATCTATATTTTTCTTTTTTTCTGTTAATGATAATAAGAAAAGAAAAATTATTATTCTCTGCATCAGATCGCCGCCACGCACCTCTCTGTTGTCGCCTACGTGTCTCCATCGTTGCCTAATCACAAGCACGTCTGACAGCACCTCTCCCTCAAATTTACTCATCATTTGTCGATCTACAAAATATGTGGAACTTCGGCAACAAATCTAGGCCTTAATCGCCCAAGGTCCTCGTCTTCGACCCCTAGCTTTCTCTCCTCCCTCCACCAACGGTGATGGTTGGCCTTCCCTCCAAACGACGACGCTTTTACAAGATTTGCGCTAACAATGATGACTTTCTCTCCATAGATTGTGAAGCCAATCTTCAGAGCTCACGATGTATCTCCTATGAATCGAGTAGATTGATCTCTCAACGAAGGAGATCGCAATGTATCTCTCCTGTAGGGATGGCAATTTGTGTCAGCGGGTCGTGTTCGTGTCGTGTTGACCCATTCAGTTGACACAAATAGGCTTGACACGAACACGACCCGCTTATTAATCGTGTCGAAATACAAAATCTAAACACGACCTGTATATTGGCGGGTTGACACGACACAACACGAGTAACCCGTTTATTAAACAGGTCATAAACGTGTCGTGTCAACCCGTTGATTACCTGTCAACCTATTTATAAAATGAGTTGTGTTAACATATTTTTGAGCCTGTTTATAAAATAGGTGATAAATAGGTCGTGTTAACTTATTTCTGAACCTGTTTATAAAATGGGTAATAAACGGGTTGTGTATTCGTGTTACCCAAATATGACACGTTTAATAAACAAGTTATGGCATGTCAATTGCGGGTTGGCGGGTCAACCTGAAAATGACACGTTATTTAATCGTATTTCACGGGTTCGACCTGATTTTGACTCGGACCTATTTATGATAAACCCAAACCCATTAATTTCGTGCGGGTTTCAAGTCGTGTCGTCATGTCGCTATCCAGATTATCAGCCCTACTCTCGTGGATCGACATTGGCCATTGACGAAATCATTTATCACCGTTTTTAATTTTCATCATAGTTGTGAGTTCGCCGGAAACAACGGCTTGGTAACACAACCAACAAAAGAAAGGATAAAAGAAAGAGGTAAAACTATTTAAAGTAAATAATAGTAAATATTAAATTTACTAGGTAAATATTAAATTTACTAGGTAAATAATCTATTTATTAGTAAAAAATAAATAATTTATCAAGTAAAATTATTATTTATTACTATTTATTTCAAATATTTTTAAAATCTGCTATTTATTTCAATTATTTATTATAAGAATGCTATTTACTTATTTTTGCCTTTGGATTATTTCTTATTTTTAATCATGTGCATTTGTCTCATTTAGACATCCACCTCTAGAGGTCTACCTATCAACATTTCTAAATATACATTATTGGTTTAATCTATAGATTCGGACAAAAATTCAAATATTGATTTGAACTATGATTGTGAAGAAGCATTGATTAATAATAAAAGGTTGCATCCACCAATAAAATTATAACACTTCATGAGTTGGTATATAAGTTATAATTATAAATTGTGTCTTTAGCATTATTTTTTTTTTAAATTTATCTTATTTATTATGAATGTAAAGAAACACTCTACCGATTAAGCGCATAAAAATTTATATATATATATTTAGACAATATCTTGTATTTAGGGGGTGTAAATTTAGGGCGTCTGAATTGTGAAATCATCAACAACAACAAAAGCGTGTGGGCTGACCCAATATGTTTGAGCATATTTACAGCACTACCTGACACGCAGTTGGCCTCCATAGTTTTAACTTCAATCCCACTTTGGTCCTAACTTTTTAAAAGTCTATGAGATATTTAAAAAGTAAGAGACCAAAATGGAATTAAGGGTAAACCTCAGAGATCATTTGTCAAATTAACCTATTATTTTTATTAATTTGAGGGAGAGATTATGTCATTTTCACCATTTTTTTAAATTATTTTTTCAGAAAATATTGGTCTAAGATTGATTGGGGATTTTTTTTTCTTTATAAAAAGGTAGTTCTACTCACACACCCCTTTTTATTCTCCACACTCTCTTTCTAAATACACACCCCATATAATTTTAAAATGGTTAAATTTACTTTCTACACATCTGATAAGTGCATGAAAATGCATTTAAATTGTTCATATTTACTAAATAAATTAAGTTTTAATTAAATATTTTCGTTGAATTAATTTTATGTGAAAGTATTTAATTTTAATTTAATTTAATTTATTTTGTAGGGAAATAAGGTATTTGGGCCAAAACTAAAAAGAAAAAAAAGAAGAAATAGGCCATTAGCCCGTCAGCCAGCCGTTCGAGCCGCGTCTAGCCGTCCAAGCCGCACCAGTCCCAATCTCTGCCACGTGTCATTTTCTGGTGCGCCGCAGGCGTGTGGGACCCACATGTTCCCTTTGCGCATGCGCGCACCGCCCTTCCCCCTACGCGAGTCTCCTCCATGCGCGCGTCACCCGGTTTTCCTTTCTTCTCCGCGTGGGTCCCGCGTTGCAGCAGCTTCCCAATCAATTCCCGCCACGTGTCCCTAACGGGAGCAGCAGTCGGCCATTTCTTCTTCTCCGCGAATCAGCGCGTGCCACGTGTCAGATTTGATGCTTCTGTCGGCAGTTTTCTCCTCTCAGCCTCTTTTCGTGCCACACGTGTCCCACCCGTTTGAGATTCTTCAGCCAGCGTTCCATTTTGTTCCGTTGGGATGATTTCAGCATTCACTCCCAGAATTAATCCTTGTAAATCTAATTTATTTGGATAAAATGCCCCTTTATTCTTTTATTTGATGAGTGTTTTTTCACATGCCCTAAAAACTCTATAAATAGGGACTTTGTGAAGTGTATTAGGTTACTGATTTTCTAGCCTAAATTCTTATACTTTTTTTTTCTCATTGTCTTGTTCTTATTCTCATACTTTCTTTTTAGAATTTTATGGGAATTATATGTGTAATGAGCTTGTTTGGGTTTTAATTTTCTAATGGTTGTAAGTTTTATACATTTGAGTAAATAATTTTCTTCTATCATATTTCTTCCTCATATCAATATATTCTATTGTCAACTTTTATATAAATTTAGTCAAGCTCTTTTTATGTGATTGTTGCATGGTATTATATATTGGTATGCATTATTTTATGAGTAGTCTTTTACTACAATATCACCCCGAGGTATATTGTCGCTTTTAGATTTCTTATAAGATAAATTTTTATAGTTCTAAATGTAAGAATTTTATTTACTCGAATACATTTTTATTCACAAGTTCTTCAAATCTTATTTTCCGATTGATTGTTTGGAATATGAAACTTTCAATTGAGTTAATTTATGAATCAAAATCCAAATAGCTGAACAAAGCATATGGATGATTCTCAATGCCTTACCACTTTTTATTATTGAATTTTTTCCATTTTAAATTGCATTATCTTTAAATTCAATTGCTCTAAAACTACAAAAGCATTCTTTTCTTTTTTTATTTGATTGCTTACTTTTCTAACGCTTTTGTTCTACTAATCTCTTTTGTTTGATTTTATTACCTCCTCGTGGGTCCTAATTATGCTATAATTGACCGCTTATTTTTGTACATATTTGGGCGTAATCAACATCCGTATTATTCCAAAACTACCCCAACTATTTTCATAAGATTATTAATTTTTGATAATCTCATTTTTTTCACATCCATCATTTTATTTAATTTATTATTTAAATATTAACTTCTATAAGTAAAATAAAAATTGATAAATAAACCAATACATAACGGCAACAAAATTAGTATATCATTGAGGTATGATAAAAAAGACAAAACGAAAAAAGAATAAAAAACAAGTAGACATAAAAATAAACACAAAGCAAAAGGAAGAGAAGGCAAATCACCATATAATAAATAGTAAAGAAAAAATTAACATGCCTGTATGTAAATTTTTAGAATAATTTTTGAATGGTAAAAACTAAAGTTTTATTATAGATTTTAAAATAATAATTATTTGTAATTTGGGAATATAAAATGTGAGGTGTGTGAAGAGAAAAAAATATCATTAATTTATTTTTATAATAAAATTAATCCATGTGATTAAATCTATCATAATTGTCTTTTTTATCATTTTATGTGAGCGTCTTTTGTAATAAAAAAAATAATTAAAATGGATGTGTGAATAGTAAAATTATAACTACCGTTTCTAGAAACTTTACCTTTCTCTCTGTTACATCCTTCTCTCTCCATGGACTCTACGATAATATCTCTCCGGTCTCTCAATTGCAATAAAGTCTAGGGTTTTACTAGTTCCGTCGAGAATTAAGGTACTCAAACCTTGAACCTCCGTCGTTTTGCTTTAATTCCGACCTCCCTTCTTTATCAATAACTTGATCATCTTCTTCGGCAGCATCTAGGGTTCGTCCTCTTCCTCTCTCTCTCTCTCTCTCTCTCTCTCTCTCTCTATATATATATATATATATATACATATTATACATATATATATATATATTATGTTCTCCGTGTATAGTGGATCCTACATGGACTCTTTCATCGTTTTCTCGTTTAACCTTAATCAATTATATTTAGTTGTTATAATTTTGATGTCTGATCATTTGCCTATATAACTTGGTCGCTGAAATTGGCTTTAGAAATTGAAATGCATTCTTTTTGCTCTGCTTTCTAAGAATAACATTTTTTCTTTTCAACTTTCAGTGGTAAAATTTTGGAACAAAATGAGAATATATCTTTGGCTGTCATTTATTTTAATGGGAAGTTTGATTTGTTCGCTGTTATGGTGTTGACTTTTCAACTGATAATATTGATTGCTCTACGCCACCCCAACTGTTGATTTGATTTTGTTCGCCACTAAATTTGGGTTGCTTTCTTTGAATGCTTATTAGCTTAAACGATCAAGTAGGAATTGTTATGCATATCAAGTGTTGAGGTATTCTTCTGTCTATGAAATGTGGGGTTGTGATCTTGGTTTGTTCTATCATTTGGAGTAATGAATTCTTAATCTTTATTTATGGGTCTAGTAAATAAACTTGTAAGATCAAACAGATTTCAAATGATAATTGATGCCTAATAATATTACACTGTATCTTTGTTTTTGGGTGTACAATCACGCAGATAGTGTATGAATTATTGGTCTTGTTGCCTAATTTGTCAATGATTTTCGCTTTTTTACTAGATGACGTTAGCGAGCTGATCTCCATAAGGATGAATAGCCATCAAGAATCCAACTTTTTTCCCGAACAAACTTTACAACAGGCATTCATTAAGACAAATAATTATTTGAACTCTGCTGCAACGTTCTAGTTCTGTGTTTGATTTTGGTGGAGTGTGCATCTCCATACTTCTTATAATAATGGTCTATGCATTTTTATCTTGGTTGGAGTAATTGTTAAGAGGTCACTATTGTTTAGAGGTTACTTTTTTTGTGTTTTGAATATTTCTCAATGTTTCTTATTCAACAGGTTCTTCCTCCAAATTTTTTTGCCGCTCAATGTCATGCTAGCTGCTTTATCAGATTCTCTTTTTCTGAGTTCTTGCTTTTGAGCTGGAAATGTCAAATGAAGAAGTTTTAAAGGCTGTTTTCCCTTTATTGGAAGGCGTGGAGCTCGCTTCATGCATGGCAGTGTGTAAGCAGTGGAGGGATGTAGCCTTGGACGATTACTTTTGGAAATGTCTGTGTGCCAAGAGGTGGCCGTCAATCTGTAAGAAACCTAAGCCTCCCACAGTGACCTACTACAAGCTGTATCAAACTTTTTATAAGCGCCAGCAGAGTCGAATCCTTCCCCCTCCAAGGATTTCCTTTGATGATTTGGACTTTTATATAGACATTTGGACTGAAGATCGATTGCTCTTCTCTGAAGTGGTTCCAGGCCCTATCCTACAGGCTGGTTTTAAGATCCCACCATCAGGAATTTGCGACAAGCTTAGATTTCATATTGATGGCCCCGAGTACAAGATGACTCTACCCATTGAGCCGAGATTCACTGTTCCAGTCAGCCAGACTGTGAGCGTTTCTGTGCTTGTTGAGCGCAAGGATTCCAATATGGTTGCTTGTGTAATCAATAAATCTGTATTTGATTATGTTGATCGGTCAGCATATAGGGCCATGGCATTTGACTTCCTTGACTTCTCACCTGTCTACCCTTTTGTTTCCGGCATCCGGGCATGGATTTCTTTGCTTTTCATGGACGACGGAAGCGAAGGTGTTTTTGATGTTTTTGGGATTCAAATGGATTTCTGTGATGCTGCGAACTCCAAGGAAGAGGTTTTGTGGCTATTGGACATGCTTGATTGGAAGTAAAGAACTGAATTGTATAGACCATGAAGAGAAGGGAAGAGTCACCACCAACATTGGTCTTACCATTAATGTCTTTCTTTTCTCTTGTTCCTGCATGTGGTGGCTGCTAAAGGAGAATTGTGCCAACTCTATTATTTATGAATGTTCCATGTCTGTACATACTATTTTACTTTTTCTTTTCCAATTAAATATGAACATCTTTATTGTTGTATCTAAGTGTGTTGCATATTCTGTAAGCATTTCATCTACCTGAAAAAGGAGCAATCTATGAACTGTTTATGTATTGAAATTTAAGCTCTGTAACAGTATATTGTCTTTGCATAAATTTGATGTCACTGTTTCTACTTCTCTTAGAGCGTTGCGCCGAAGAATGTCTCTGATTCTCTTTTAGTCCAACATGACAAGGTTTCAAAGGTTTGAAATACAGTACAATGACTGCCTGTCCTGCATTTGATATGTCGGATATAAGTATAAAGAAAACGTATTTTATTTGGAGAAGGGGTTGATTATGAAGCCAAATACAATCATTTGTTTGATTATGAAGCCAAATACAATCATTTGTTTTTCTTCTAATTCTCATGCGCCTCATATGGTACAAGTAGGAAATTATTTTTTTCAAATCATTTTCCTTAAATCAAAAGCATTAGCCTTTAAAATTGCTAAGAATTAGTATTCAAAAGTTTTTCATTCCGTCGTAGGTTCGGCCAAACTGCCAATTTCCCGGCGCAACATTGTCAAACTAGAGAACTTTACCATCACTGGTAGTAACTTGGAATGACAGACTTTGCCCTACTAAGTTCACTGATGTCTGCCAATTTTGGCCCCAATTGCGAGACATCGGCGGCCAGCTAGTATTAGAACCCTTGATATTGACGCTACAAACATCACCAGCACCTCCGACATGGTACACCAACACAAGTACCCAATAAGGATTTCCCTTCACATCAAACTTCAATCCTCCTTATTTGTTGCAAGGGACCCGGCGGTAGCTAACTGGTACGATCCCTGTAGCGCGCCGTCTTCGTGAACATTGGCATGGAGAGGTCAAAGTGTTTCAGCGGCTGGTTGCTCCAGTTACCATCCGGTTTCTGGTAATTCGGAGGGCAGAAGTGGGTCACGGTCACTCTTGTGGTGCCAGCATTTGGTATGCATCATTGTGGATCGTCGACACACATCATTTCGAAGCAAGCACCGCAAGCTAGGCCCTCGTGGAAGAGTGCGGTGCTTACGGCTGTGGTCTGAAGACCATACCCTTGTTTGAAGAGGTCACCATAGCCACAAGCTCCCTCTGTCGAATGAAATAATTCAACATGAACAACAGGAAATAAATTTCTATAATCCTCAGTGGTTACACATAAGAAAAATGGTTTATAAGTATTAAGAAAAATGGTTTATAAGTATTGTAATGAGACAAGAATTTTTCACTTACGCATGGTCTCTCCACCGTTCATGTCACCATAAAACGTTGCATGCACGTTGTGCCAACCATTCATCTCAAGAGCAGTAGTGATTTCCTTGCATGTTTTCTGATTAATCAAGAGAGTAATGAACAATGACAGAGCAATCAAAATGTAAGACCGAGCCATGAATTTTTTATTATAATGAGAGAACAATAATTAATATTGTATCTATGTGAAATGAACGAGGTTAATGAGAATTTAATTTATAAGCAGAAAAGAGTCATAAAAGAAAAAGAGAATGTCACCGTAATTTTCATTAATTACAGATACCATATAGCCATTAAAACCACAGATAAGGAAAAATGAAGCATATCACAAGTAAGTAATTAAGAGCCAGCATTAATTTCAGCTAGAGAATATTCTTCCATCCAGGGAAAGTTATTACTTACCGTATTACAATAGATATGGCTAGTATAGCAAATATTTTGGTTACTCAGTACTATTTTAGTCAAGTTGGTCAGGCGTTATGCAAGAAATGGACTGGAAAAACAAAATTTTAATTGCACAAAACAATGATAGACAGGTCAAAAACTGTGGTATTATGGTTGAGTTTCCTCATAATGATGTTCTCTAATTTATGAACCTTGTGAATAACTTGTAAATGGATAGAATTGATCACTATAGAATATAGATGCGTGTTTGTTTGGCATTTTTGCTGTCTTCTTCAATTAGTAAATCTTCAACTGCAATAAGAGAATAGAGAAAGAAAGCTTTTCTTTAGTGAGATTTTGATTCTAACCTTTTGTAGTGTTTCTGGGACTTCAGAGAGTAAGAAAACGGACTCATAACAATTGGGTTTTATGGACTCTGGAAGGTACCAAATGTAACGCATGAAATATTAATCTCTCAATGAACATCAGTATCTGACTTCTTGTGTTTAATATAAGATCCATGCAAATGATCATTTTTTTTTCAAGTATGTTTGCTCCAGCAATATATATATATATATATATATATTTGGAATATTTACTTTTTTATACCATGTATTTTGAGTTTATTTATAAATTATACCCTCAATTTTTTTTTTTTGGCTGAATAAATACTTTTGTTGAGAAGCAGGAGGATCAGGGGTCACCACTGAGGGGGGGGAGAGACCTCCCCTAGTGAAACTCGGCCAGAGAAAGACAAAATTCTGACCCAAGCACACAAGGCATCAGCCGCCGGGTTACGTACTCTAGGAATATAAAAAGAACTTTAAACAAACCAACGAACTAGACAAACTTAAAACGTCACTGAACAATCCACGCACCAACCAGTGAGGAGGATTCTCCTTGCTCACAAGCGCGTCAACAGCCATCTTGCAGTCGCTTTGAATTATCACTGCAGACCAACCTTTCTCAGAGGCTAGACGGACACCCATTAAAATTCCCTTAAGCTCTCCTTCGAGCACCAAGTCAACATGGCTTTGGCCAACCAGGATGTCAATAACCTCACCTTGATGGTCCCTAGCCAGAGCTGACAGTCCGACCTTGCACTCCACAACCGAGGCATCAACGGAAATAGCAATGGTCCCAATAGGAGGTGGAGGCCACTTTACAGGGATGCCTTCACAATGACTACCTTAAGAAGAAGCAGAATCCTTACCAGCCCCGGTCAAATTCTTGCTGAAAACATTGGGACGACTCTGCAAACACCTTGTGATTTGGGAGATCATGGTTGAGACGTCACAACGACCGCCAGAGAAGACCAGTTCATTTCGCCAACGCCAAATGCAGTCCAAAGTGCAGCCCACGAACAACAGAAAGTCTTCAAATCCTGGTTCCTTAGATTTGGAAAGAAGCCAAGAAATAAAATCTCTGATATCAGCACTTTGGATGTTGTCCACTTTGAGAGTCCGTCTGCTAGAGAACCAAATATGCTGACTCATGCCATCTCCAATGGCTACACACGCCCCCGACTGAATAACATCCCTAGCTTTCAAAATGCCTTGCCAAACATAGGAATCTCCATGCTTAACCGGACGAGACCAGAAATCCTCACTCCTACAATATTTCTCCCTTAACAGGGACACCCAGGGAGATTGCTCATTTGCCCCAACCTTCCACGCCAATTTAGAAATACGCGTTGTGTTGAAGCCTTGGAACCTCCAGAAGCTTAACCCCCATTACCTTTAGGCTTACATAACTCATACCACGCCTTGAGAGCCATGAAGTGACCCCTTTCCACGTTCCACCAAAATCTCGTGACCGTGGCATCCACTCTTGACAAAGCGACAGACGAATGCGGAATGCGGACATGGAATAAGACGGGATGTTGAGGGCGACCGCATTAACAAGAGTGGTGCGACCCGCACGAGGGAGAAATTTCGCATTCCAACCCTCCAGCCTCTTCCATAGTTTTTCCTTCAAAAAGCTGAAATCCTTGACTTTATTTCTTGAAACGAACAAAGGATTCCCGAGATAGCGCTCATCTCCTTTTGCTTCACCCACCCATAACGCCGACAGAATTTCTTCTTTGACTGAAGGAATCGTGTTAGTGGAAAAGAAAGCACAGGATTTGTCCAAATTTACTTTCTGACCCGGCCAAGATTCATATCGCTTTAACACACTGCATTAGGTCGTCCACATTGCTCTTCGACGCCCGAGTAAATAGGATAGTGTCATCCACAAATATGGCATGAGAAATATGAGGCTCATTTCTTCCAATTTGGATGCCTTGAAAGGCTCCCTGATATTGCCCCCTCAAAAGTAATTGGGAGTGAAGTAGTCAAATTCATAAAGGGAACGAGACATTAAGTGAACATAGTGAAATGGGTTTTGCATTTCTTATTTTCATGGAGATTTTTAAAAATGATGAAAGGATTAATTTGGGATGATTTTATATATGGGTACTCTATTAGAATGTTTCAAAAGTTTATAAACCAAAATATCTAGCTTATAATTCAAAAGTTTTTCTGTATCACTTAGGTCTTGTTTATTTCGTCGATCTGAGTTTAAAATTTAAGTTTTGTTATAATAAAAAGCTCTAAGAAATAATCACATTTAATTTTTTTACTACAGTAAAAAATTATCACATAAAGTCACATCTTAATTCGAATTAAAAACTCGAATCAACGAACTAAACGGACCCTTAGTTCATAAATTATAAACCTTGAGGGCCTGATATGAAAATAGTTAAAATTTATGGTACAAATATTATTCTCATTTAATTATTAAAATTTGAAAAAATGGCAAAGAGTGATTCTGAAAAGAAAAAAAAAAAAAAAAACCCGCAAAAAAGAGCGAAACTTCCCCAGCAATGTAAACGTGTAATCTGTATTTTACCGCTCTGATCTGAGTCTTTCCAAGCAAGCTATCTACCACGTAGCAAAACTATCTTCATCCAAGGGCGTTTCCGTAATTTGGATTTCCATTTTATTTTTTCCCATCCCAGCCCCCAAATCCCCTTTCATCTTCCCCCGAAAATTCGCACAAATTTTTATTTTTTTTCTTTTTCCATTTTTCCATTTGCTAACTTTCCCCGCCATTTGCTTCCCACAATTTTTCTGTTCCCAAATCTGTCACTCTAGGGCTTCCAAACCGTTATCTCTCTCCACTCTGCGAGGGAGAAAAAACCCTAATTTTCCGATAAATCTCCTTAGATTTCCCCCAATTTACGCGAGAAGCGACTCCTCCATGGTCCATGCCCTCGCCGGCGCCGATTGGGGACTCACCGGTTAACTAGATAATAGATGAGTTATCATCAAGACCCGACCGGTTCGAGCTCCGGTTCCGGTCCGGCGTTATGGAACCACCGCGGAATCGGTCTCTCCAATACGATACACTCGGAGGTCGCGTCTTGCTTGCCTCTGCCGTCGCTTCCGGTCTTCTGCGGCGCTTCCGACCCGGAGCTACGGTTGTTCGACGATTCGAGCCGGAATTACTTGTGGTCGTTGAATCGCAATGAGATTCTCAATCAGTCTGGTAGGATTGCTGATCTGCTTCGACAAACCGATGTCTCGTACTTGTAAGTGTTCGCTATTTAATTCTGTTAGTCTTAATTCTAACATTTAAGTTCTACTTTGAAATTTGAGTACATGTTTAGGTGCATTTATCGGAAATGTAATTTTGATTCGCGGGTAAATTTGTTCCTATATGTAGTTAAGTATTTGGAATTAAACTTTGTTCGGTTACGCGTAATTTGAAATCTGAATATACCTGATTGCCTTTGCGTGCTATTGCATGTGAATTTGGTAGTTTTTGTCGCAAAGTAAATCATAGCTTTTATTTTCAAAAAAGTTATCGAAAAATCGATTGCTTACAGTAGCTAAAATCGAGATATTGAATTAATAAACTAAGGAAAACAACTTAAATATGAATTACTGCTTTCTGAATGACGTGAAGATAAATTCTTTTCAATTATTCTTTTCTTTTGTTCAGTAACTTAATTTATGTGGTTTGAAGTGTAATATTTATTTTTTTCATATTTTAGCTAGTGTATTGAAGTGTATTTAGTCAGCATTGTTGATAGAGTTGCGTGGTGATTGAGTTGGGGATTTTAGAATCTTCTTAGTCAACTGCTATTCAGGATCTTAGTGTAGACTAACTGACAGTAAATTTAAGACGGATGCTAAAAGGGCTTTGTAATTTGATTCAGTCCATCTAGATCTTTTTCGTTTTTAACAAAATGACCAGGTGACATGTCAGGTGTTTTGAGTTTTTCTCATATCTTGTGTCGCGTGCAGGAACCTTAGAGAGGCTCCCCAGGAAGTTTCGTATGGTTATCTGGAGCCTTTAGATCTTCACGATGAAGTTCTTAGATTCAATTCAGAAGCATTCAATGTCAACGGTCCAGGTAAAGAAAGTATTTGGTTGTATTTTGGCTGCATTTAGCTGTTTATTCGATATTTGTATTTTAACTTGTTTCAGGCTTACAGCCTCTACTTTGAATTGCGCTCTGGTGATGTGTCAGGGCGGTGCAATTTTAATTTTGGAAATTTACGTTCCAGTTTGAATTCTTAAAACTCTGAATAAACATTGTCCTCCCTCCTTTTTCGTGAAATGTTTATGTTAAGAGCACTATTTTGGTGTTTTAACAATCTTTCAGTCATAGGTGACATTTTTTCCCCAACAATTTTCCCTCTTTCTAATTCGTGTCTGAAAGAGATGGAAGCTTAAAATTGAATGGTTGATTCATTTGGCATTTCATATTTGGATTATTCTCTGTCAAGTAGAGATGGTTAGGCTTATGTTCTGGGAGTGAAATCGATTGATAAAAGTGAGATTGAACTTGTTCTTCTGAAATATATTAGTAGATTTTACTTATGGCATATTTGAATGAGTTTGTTTTGGTTCCACACCCGAGTCAGGTCTGCAAACATGTATTGACTCATTTGCATGTAACTTGTCTTTTCCTAGCATTTTTTTTTTTTTTGAATATTTCATCTCGTTAAGTTTTCTATTTTGCTTTTGTTCAAGCATTCTTTAAAACGAAATGGATCTCATAAAATTAAGCATCAGGGCTTGGCCAAACCAAAATGTGCACATCCAGAGTCCATTATATATCAATAATCAGCATTCTGAACATTACTCTATTGTTTCTTTTTCCCTCCACTTTCTGGTATCATGATTAGTTTTTTAAACATATATGGCGTTATGTGCTTATTGTTTCTTGCACTGTTCAAGTTTCTCAGGTCATATCAAGGAGCAAATCTCTGTTGGTACAGTTCCTGAAAAGAAGCCTTTCGAGCCAAGTATACCTATTACAAGTCATTCTCATAAGGATTATGGTGCAACTCATAATCATCACTTTAATAATGTCCCTGCTAATGTACGAGTACAATTTTTTTAAGGACACACATTCATATATGTCTACTTTTAGCAATTTATATTTGGGTTAGTTCTTCATTGCTAATCTGGATGACATGATTACAGGACACATCTACGTCATCTTCCAGAAAATCAAGAGCCAAGAAGAAAGTTTCTGATAACATTTCAACAGCAGTTTTACCTGATCCCACCGAGCTTCAAGGTTGATCTAGCTGGTCTTGGTTTTTAAAATTACAATTTCAATCAACTTTTTAATTCCCCAATTTTTTAATAAAAACAATTTACTTTTGGGAATTCTCTTCTAGATGCCGCTATTGAGAGCTTTTGTGAGTTGGTAGAGAACTTTTGTAGCCGAGCTGAAATAGATAATGATGATCGGGATGAAGCAGAGTGGTTATCAATACCTCTTTCTGATCTGAGAATCCTTGTAAATGAGATAATTTCTATTCGTGCAAAGAGACTTCTACATTTGCTCCCTGTAGATATTCTTGTTAGAGTTTTAAGGGTTTTGGACCATCAGATACATCGAGCTGAAGGCTTGTCCATTAACGATTGTGAACATGTAAGTTTTTTTGTATTATCTTTCAAAGCTGCAGTATGAAGCTCATAGTGCACGTTTGTTATCAACCATTTAAAAATTTCTTTAGCTTGTTGGATTGCCTTGAAGTTTTGAAGTGTAACGTGAGCTTCAAGAATTTCATAGATGTGTGTTTTGTGTATGGTTTTATTCTTTCCATTTATTTTTGAAGTATGAAAGCTAACACATGTTCGTGTAATTTGTTATCTTTCACCTTTTTATGGTTTTGTCGGCGTATCGCTTTGATGTATTATGTTGTACAAGTTTTTGACATTTTATACAAAGTTAAGGATGTTGATTTTTGCTTTACCTTTACCATTTCTCTGTGTTTCAGTCAGATTCAGATATCATTTCGTCCATCTTTTGTGGACTTGAGTCCATTCATGCAGCTTTAGCAATGATGGCCCATAATGAGATGCCAAAGCAGCTTTATAAAGAAGAGGTAAATGCTTATATGCGTAAACTTCCTATGTTAGTTAGGATCTGTGATTTTCCAGTATTTATTCTTCCAAGTGCCTTTATCAGTCTTGTCATTGTTATGACTTCTGAGCTTAGAAGATGATTAAGTATGGACTTTCTTGGCCAGATCATTGAAAGGGTTCTGGAGTTCTCCAAGCATCAAATAATGGATATCATGTGCGCTTATGACCCTTCGTTTCGTGCTTTGCATAGACCAACTGATAATGGAGCACTTGAAGGTTGGTCTTTTGATTTCTCGTAGAACAGATTGGATTCTGTTTAGCTACTCTATTTTCAAAGTGGCAGTAGCTTGTTCGTATACTTTATATTTTTTGAAAATGATAAGCTGTTGCCCTTATCTCTTCATCTGATTTTCTTTATCCATATGTTGCTTAATTTGTTTTCATGATTAATCTGTTTTTTCCAGCTTTATTTAATTGATATTGAGCTACGCTTTTGACATTTTTCCCCTGCAGTTGAGGATGATGAAGAGCATGATGCTGAGTTTGGTTCAGCAACCAAGAGAAGACGTACTATCAAGACTGTGAAAGCGAAGAAATCAGCAATGAACAAGTGTGCTTATCTATTATTTGCCTGTATCATTGAATATTTTTGAGAGGTTAATGTGTTAAAGGAGGTAGTTTCTTATGCTTGTCTTTATTTGCAGGGTCTCTTCTTCTGTTAATACCATTCTCCAGAAGATGTGCACTATTCTTGGTTTGCTCAAGGATTTGTTGTTGATAGAGAGGTTGTCTGATAGTTGTATCTTACAACTGGTAAAAACAAGTTTTACAACATTCTTGGTGGACAATATCCAGCTCTTGCAACTGAAGGCAATTGGTTTACTTAGTGGGGTAGACATCCATTCTATTCTTTTTTCTTTGGTAGCCTGTGCTTCTTAGGAACTTAGGACACACACTTTTGCACTCTTGTTTATAGATATATTACTCCTACTACTTGGTCTGAAGTTACTGATATCTTAATCGATGGTGTCACAGATATTCTATTCTTATACACAACACCGGACTTATGTAATAGATGAATTACTTCAGCTGCTTTATAAGTTGCCAATCTCCAAGCGAGCTTTGAGAGCCTATCATCTACCTGATGAGGAGCAGAGACAGATTCAAATGATAACTGCTTTACTCATTCAGTTAGTTCACTGTAGTACGAACCTTCCTGAAACTTTAAGGCAAGCATCAAACAGTAATATGATGTTGGAAGTTTCAGTCGATGCTAATTATCCAACCAAATGCTATGAAGCAGCTACTGAGGCATGTTGTCTCTTTTGGACCCGTGTACTTCAGCGCTTTGCTACCGTGAAATCACAGGATGCATCTGAATTGAAAGTAATGATGGAGAATCTTGTTACTGATTTGCTGACAACACTGAATCTGCCAGAATATCCTGCTTCATCTACGATTCTGCAGGTTAGATATTATAGCATATGGTTTTGTATTCCTTTTAATTCGATTTTCTTGTGCTGAGGCAAAGTTTATTTGCAGGTTCTCTGTGTCTTGCTTCTCCAGAATGCTGGGCTGAAGTGTAAGGACATTGCTGTACGCTCTATGGCCATTGATATTCTAGGTACAATTGCGGCAAGGTTGAAGCGTGACGCTGTAGATTGCAGCAGAGATAAATTCTGGATATTACAGGAGTTGGGTAGCAAAGATGGGACTGAGCAGAGCTATCCAAAAGATACATGCTCTATTTGTTTGGAAGGGAGGATCGAAAGATTGTTTTTTGTATGCCAAGGCTGTCAGAGAATATTTCATGCTGATTGCATGGGAGTAAGAGAAGAAGAAGTTCCTAACCGGGGCTGGTATTGTCAGATTTGCCTTTGTAGAAAACAACTTCTTGTTTTGCAATCCTTCTGCAAGTCGCAAGGTAAAGAAGAAGGGACAAAGGACAAGAAAGACAAAAACCCTGAATCTTCTTTCCCAATTACAGAAGTAGAGATTGTTCAGCAATTGCTTTTGAATCACCTTCAAGATGCTAGTTCGGCTGATGATGTTCATCTTTTTGTTCGCTGGTGCGTCATCGTTGAATTTCCTGATTGATATTTGGTTTCATCTTTCATACTGTACTTATGCATGTAAATGTAGGTTTTATCTCTGCGTGTGGTTCAAAGATGAACCAAAATCACAGCAGAAGTTGACGTACTACCTTGCTAGACTGAAATCAAAAGCAATAGTGCGGGATTCTGGCATCATATCTTCATTATTGACAAGGGAGACGGTCAAGAAGGTTACTTTAGTGCTGGGGCAAAATAACTCTTTCTCCAGAGGGCTGGATAAGATTCTTTACACGCTTCTGGTTAGTTAACTACTTAACTGCCTTCTTTTGTATTGCCTTATTTTAAGGTAGCAAAAGTTTTACTCTCACAAAATTTTCAATTGCAGGGAAGTTTAAGGGAGAATTCTCCTGTAATAAGGGCCAAGGCTTTACGTGCGGTGAGTGGAAATTTCACTTGTGAACTTCTGAGCGTTTAAATGGTAAATAGAAGAATTATTTCTGCTTGTTCATTGACACGTTTTTACTCCCTTTTCTTGCTTAATATAATGAGCAGGTCAGTATCATTGTAGAAGCTGATCCAGAGGTACTTTGTGACAATCGTGTGCAGTCGGCAGTGGAAGGAAGATTTTGTGATTCTGCAATATCTGCAAGAGAAGCAGCATTGGAACTTGTTGGCAGACACATTGCCTCGCATCCTGATGTTGGTTTGAAGGTTTGGCTAAATTTCCCTTTTCCATCTCGTTTTAGTTATATGCACTATTTTATAGTTAATTCAGATCTCTTTGAAATTTGAATTTCAACGTTTTGCAGTATTTTGAGAAGGTTACAGAGAGAATCAAAGATACTGGAGTGAGTGTTCGAAAACGAGCTATCAAAATTATTCGTGATATGTGCACTTCGAATGCAAACTTCTCTGAGTTCACAAGGGCTTGCATTGAAATCATCTCACGTGTGGGTGATGAGGAATCAAGTATACAGGTAGTTAAATTAGCTTTTGTTTCAAGGCAGGCGTGGTTCAGCTGTGTTTCTAAAGACAATAAGTGTTCAAAAGACTCCCTGATAATAGAAAAGATACTATTTTCTCAGAAAGTATTGGAAGAATGATAATCTAAAGAGTGCCAACTAGGCAACTACAAAGAAATATGAATATCTGGTCTGTTCTTTTATTCTCAGGATCTTGTTTGCAAGACGCTTTATGAGTTCTGGTTTGAGGAACCTTCAGGTTCACAAATTCAATACTATGGAGATGGTAGTTCTGTTCCGTTGGAAGTGGCGAAAAAAACTGAGCAGATTGTTGAGATGTCGAGAATGATGCCAAACCATCAATATCTTGTCACAATCATTAGGCGCAACTTAGCACTTGATTTTTTCCCACAATCAACTAAAGCTGTTGGGATCAACCCCCTATCACTAGCGTCAGTCCGCAAGCGCTGCGAGTTAATGTGCAAGTGCTTATTGGAAAGGATATTGCAGGTCTTCTTGCCTTTTTCCTTGTTAAACACCCCAACCTTTGGAGGTTTTGGATCAAAAAATTTACATTTATAAATTCTCTTGTCAGGTAGAGGAAATGAGTAGCCAGGAAGTAGAGGAGCGTGCACTCCCGTACGTGCTGGTTTTGCATTCTTTTTGCGTTGTGGACCCAACTCTATGTGCACCGTCTTCCGACCCGTCCCAGTTTGTGGTCACTCTTCAGCCGTATCTTAAGAGTCAGGTGAGATCTATTTTAATTCATGTCTAATTTGGGAGCATGTTATGGAGTAAAAATACGCATTTTCATTTCAGTAAAGATGGTTGGCGAGCTTGATCTGTGACACACTTTTTCCTCTACAGTCTGACAATAGAGTGGTGGCAAAATTATTGGAGAGCGTAATCTATATAATTGATTCTGTTCTTCCCTTGCTTCGAAAGTTACCTCAAAGTGTTGTTGAAGAACTAGAACAAGACTTGAAGCACATGATTGTTCGGC